TAATGCAAAACGGTAACAGAAATACTTTGCTTAGCCGAAGAAATAAAAAAGTAACAAACACATGGATGATTGAAGTTTGGGCCGAAGAAGAGAACACCAACCCAGTGGACTTACAAAAGAGGAACTCAGGAATGCAGGAAAACAATCGATAGCAAACGTAATGATAGATGCACAAAAAACCTTCGAATTGTAATCATACAGTACCTTGATTAAAACTCATTATTATCCTTTATACTCCTTTTTTCTTTTTTTCTTTTTAATAAGAAAAGACCCTGAAAGCTAATTTCGCATACATAGTTGATTAAGTCCCTCCTTTTTACCCATTATAACACGGTGGGCCAATGATCAAACCATGATCAACAAAATAAGCGAAAAAACAAAAACGAAAGAGACGAAGGTAGCAAATCAAATCTTCACTTAATTATGAATTAAGCAGAAAGGAGAGGAATAAAATCCTCTTAGATGCATTTAGCAATTTATTAAAAACCATCCATATGGGAGGGTAACAGGTTTAGGGGGGGAGACAGTGAGAGTGAGTAGGTCTATGGAGAAGGAGGAAGAAGGTGAAGAGATGGAGGGAAAAAAGTAGGAAAAGGAAGAAGAAAATGAGAAAATTCAAATTTCTACAGATGCTGGGCTTGCGCCGTTGCCTTGGGGTTTTGGAGACAGTTGGGGGAGGAGGTTGGGGATTTACAGGGGACTGAGATGAGGAGGGAGGTTTCGTTACTAGGAAAAGGGGTTGGAGTGGAAGAGGGGGAGGTGATGGGGAGTCCGAGGAGGAGGCTTCCTCAATCTCCGATTTTCTTGACTTCTTCCTCCTGGTGGGCGCCTGCGGCGCCTGCCTCCCCTTCCTCTTCATCACTAACTATCATATGCCTAAAGCTAACGCACTTCCTATAACCCTTCCTCGAGGAAAGAAACTGTCTGGGATAGTCTGGTACAAACGGCGGCGAAGGTTCCAACGACATAATCAGATGGAATACGTATTCAGGCAGCTTGCCGCACGCTTGCTTCCTCAGGTAACGGAACCAGGGTCTTGGACCCCAATCTGCAAGCTTCTCGAGATGAAGATCCAGAACAGCCTCTTCGCCAAGGGAACAGAAAAAATCCTTGAAGAAAGCGGTCACCGGAAAGGCGAGGAATGACGATGTTGCCAAACCAGGGAGGTTTTGTAACAACGTTAGAAGCCCTTCTCCGACCCAAGATTGCGCCGATCTTGATACGATCTTCGCAATGCACATGGCGAAACAGAAGAAGTTCGCTGAGATATCACAAGCGCTCCTGATCTGGAATTTCGCCAAGTCGAGCTGAGCTCTTAACAGCTCCCGCGAAGATAGTGAAGAGAGGGGGCACGAATCTACAGCGAGATGATTGAAGATTGTAGGTGAGAAGAGTGAATAGGAAAGTAGCTCGGCCACGCGCTTCCTCTTTATAATGAAGAGGTTCCTTTGATTGTCTTGGAACGTAAACGAGGTTGCCGAAGAAACATACTCAACGACATCCTCAATGTTGAGCAGATCTCCGTAGGTTCGTTCTGTAGTACTGCACTGAACTTTGATCAGTGATGCGGGAAGAAGCAGGGGAAGAACAAAGAGGTAAAGAGGAAGAAGTGAAGCAGTAGGCGGGTCAATGACAAAAATGTGCTCGAGCGCAGGATCCGTAGAGATGGGCGGAGAAGGCAAACAAGACGACGGGGAATCGATGAGTGAGGAAAATTCATCGCGAAGGGAACCAGCGGAGACGGGGTCGAGAGAGTGAGGAAGGAGGTGGGCGGGATAGTGATGTTTCAAAAAGGGGTCATAGAGAGGAGGCCTGTCGCGAGGAGGAGAATGAAAGGAGGTGGCGGGGGAGGAATGGCGGGGCGATGAAGAAGACGAATTGGGGGAGGGTGGGATCGAGGGGCTTCTGAGGATTGGAAGGGAACCGGGGACAGCAGAAGTGACAGGACCCGGGGAAAAGGGAGCAGGGTTCCTATCGGCTGAAAAAAAATAGAGGGGGAAGACTTACCAGAAGTTAAATTAGCAGGGGAAGAAATGACTGACCAACTGGCAGATGAATCGACCGTAAAGACTGGGCTAGGGGAAAGACAATGACTGCGAATAGGAATGCGGGACGGATTAGCGTGAAGGGTGGAAGGCTGGCGGAGTGAAACGAAGCAGCCTTTGGCCAAAATCTGGCGACGAAAACGACTCGGCCTCTGAGCAGACTGGTGCCTGTGGTGTGCCTGCAGGTTCGCTTACGCGATGGGCGCAGCTGCTGGCGGACGAAATCCCGAAGCCGCTCCGCGTCAGACAAACCAGCCTGCTGCGACCGGTCCTGTGCCGGTCACTTATGCACTCACTGCTCCTGGTTCCAGTGGTGGCCGGTCCTCCGAGGGGCTTCTTCCCGCAGGGTGAGTTCCGCTGAATCCTCCTTCGCCTATCTTGGTTCCACTAGCTCGCAATCGTAGATCTTGAAAATCAAGCAATCAAATCTTTTAGAAAAGTAGGCTTTACTTCGAAACTGAAGATCCAGGGGGTAAAAACCTCCCAGAGGCAGTCGGATGAAATGACCGGTAGGTCCCAATGTCTTGAAAAACTTTAAAAAAAAATAATAATAATAATAAAAATGTCTTCAAAAAAAACAAGTGATGGTTGAATCGGAATCCACCGAGTAGGTACCAACTGCATGGGCTGGAGTACGACAGTTGCAAAAAGAGGGGAAGGAACCGGGCTTGCGCGGAAGGCAAAGGAAGGCGCAAGGACGCATATCGGAACTCGCTCCACCACACAACATTGAAAAAAAATGTATCTGGTCATGAAAGCCGTCCTGGTACGGTCAGAATGTTTCGTCAGTCTGGAGAATTCTGTGAAAATGTTTCGTCAGTGCGAACGTATTTGGAAGGCTGACCGCCCATATACATTTCAGTGTCTTGTTAGTTACTGGAACATTGACCCGCTGCCCCTTTTTTTTTTTTTTTTTTTTAAGTATTTTTTTTTCTTCTCTCAATCTTTTTTTTTATATATTCTATCTCATCCTCTCGCTACTCTATGTATAGTACGGGGGAACACCAACCACCCTGGAACTCTCCCCAGCCCACGAGATAAATCAGAACGTAGACAACATCGCAGTCGACGAACGCTGACCGCCCAGATACATTTCCGTGTCTTGTTCGTTACTGGAGAATGACCCGCTGCTGCCTTTTCAAATCAAAACGTAGACTACATAGCAGTCGACGACAATGAAAATGAATATAGACCACCGTCTTCGCCCGATTCGAAATTATCGCTTCATTCCTCCATGTACGCAGTCTGCATGGTCAACCACATACATCTATCATGACAATGCGGTCTATGCGGGTACAGCTATAATGACAATGCGGTCTATTCGGGTGAAGACGGTAGGACTCGACGAGCAGAAAAGGAGGTGTGTGTGTGTGACCAGAGCGCGCAGCGGCAAGCTTGCTTCGAAGTATGACAAGAAAATGAAAAAAGTGAAAATGACCAAAACCCGCCGCGGGCAGAGCGGCTTCGCGGTCGCGGACGAGTGCGAAGACATACGAGAGGGAGGGTGCCGGAGGGCAGAAGAATAAAGGAAGCAAACACAGCAAAGATCCATTATAGCTAAACGAGAAAGAGAGCGTAAATCGAGCAAGAAAGCATACTTGTGCGTGCGCTTGGATGTGTACAAGTGTGCTTATGTGTGTGCGCCTGGATGTGTACAGCTGTGCTCATGTGTGTTCGCCTGGATGTGTACAAGTGTGCTTATGTGTGTGTGCGCCTGTGAAGTGGATTGCATTCTTGAAAAGAGAGAGAGAGAGAGAGAGAGAGAGAGAGAGAGAGAGAGAGAGAGAGAGAGTGCGCTTGGATGTGTAGGAGTGTGCTTATGTGTGTGTGCGCCTGAGCGTAGATTGCATTCTTGAAGAGAGAGAGAGAGAGAGAGAGAGAGAGAGAGAGAGAGAGAGAGTTTTGTACTATGTGATTAGGATGGCAGATGGAGCCGTTGCCGAGGTGGGGAGGTAGTACAGATACCTCATGCGGAAGGAGCCGCCACCACCGAATAAGGTGAGCGCGTCGAAAGCGAGAGCGCGACTGCTGTTGAACCGGAGCAGGTCCCGACGGCGGAGGAGGTAGGCATACTAGGCAAGGATCGAGCGATCAGCGCAGATTCGGGCCCTGCCCTGGGTTGCAGCAGCCTGCAGGAGATTCGTAAACTAGAAAGCAGTGCCATGCAGGACGTCGAGAAACGTATCGAACATCTAACGAGGCTGGAGGCGGAGGAGGTAAAGTTGGAGGAGGGGAAAGAGGAGCAGCTGCAAAGGGAGGAGGAGGAGGAGATAATGACTGACTCAGAGGTAAAAAAGATTGGGAAGGAGAAAGAGGAGGAGCAGCTGCCAAAGAAGGAGGAGGAGGAGGAGGAGGAGGAGGAGGAGGAGGATAAGGAGGAGAAGTTGAAGAAGATGGAGGTCGTGAGTAAGAAAGCAATGCAAAAGAAGGACACACTGGAGGAGAAGGCTGCGGACCTTGTCATGTCGAGTGAAGAAGCGCTGGACGTTGCGAGAGCGATGCCGGAGGAAGAGCTGAAGGAGCTGGCGCGGGATCGAGCGGAAAGGCTGAGGGGTAAAGCTCGAGAGATGGAAAGGCTAGCGAAACAAGAGGCTGAGAAGATAAAGGACGCTGCCAAACTTCGACAGGAACTGCTTCATGAGAAGAAATCGTAAAACGTTTTTCTTCAACAAAACGAAGGGCACTGAGGCAGAAGAAGGTTCAAGAAGCAGAAGAAGCAGCAGTAGAAGAAGAAGAGAGCCATGAGAAGAAGGAGAAGCAGAAGAAGGAGACGACAAAGAAGAAGAAGAAGATGAACAGGATTAAGAACAAAAAGAAGTGAACAAGAAGTGGACAAGAAGAGGAGAGGAAGGGGAGAAGAAGTGGACAAGAAGAGGAGAAGAAAAGCAGCAGAAGCAGTAGCATTAGAAGAAGAAAGAGAAGAAGCAGAAGGTGAAGCAGACGACGAAGAAGAAGAAGATGAGCAGGAGGATTAAGAACAAGAGGAAGGCGAGGAGAAGCGGCGGCGATGAAAGGGAGAGGAAGTGAGAAGAAGTGGAAAAGAAAAGGAGCAGCCGCAGAAGAGGCAGGGGCAGTAGTTGAAGAACGGAGCTACAAGAAGAAGGAAAGCAGAAGAAGACGCAGACGACGACGAAGAAGAAGAAGAAGACCAGCAGGATTAAAATAAAGAGGAAGTGGAGAAGTGGAGAAGAACTGGAGAGGAAATGGAGTAGATTATGAAAAAATCGAGGTTGTTATAACCATTCCGGCATAAACGTAGTAGTAGTAGCCGGCATAAAAGTAGTAGTAGTAGTAGTAGTAGTAGTAGTAGTAGCAGTAGTAGTAGTGGTAGTCGTCGTCGTCTACTAGTAGTAGTAGTAGTAGTAGTAGTAGTAGTAGTAGCAGTAGTAGTAGTAGTGGTAGTCGTCGTCGTCGTAGTAGTAGTAGTAGTAGTAGTAGTAGGAGGAGGAGGAGGAGGAGGAGGAGGAAGAGGAGGAGGAGGAGGGGGAAGAGATTGACTCGGAATCTCCAGAGAGAGATGACGGAGGACATATGAACAGCATGATCTGGTTGAGGGCGGGGTGTAATGCAGATGCAAGAAATACATTCGCGATTATAAATGTCGAAAGAGTGGGGTCAACGGTCAACGGTCAACGGTCAACAGCAGAACTGGGAAAATTAGGGAAAACACTTGGAAAAGGAGTGGGAGGAGGAGAATGAAGTAGAAACGGTGTGCAAAGCTAGAGGCAGATGCCGTCAAACTTTGCATCAGTGCGGCGAAGAGAAGAAGATCCGCTTCGGAAATCGTATTGATTTACTAAGGACATCGGATTCCACGTTTCATGAAGATAATGGCCAAGTTGGCGGCATGTTATTGGGCAGAAGAGAGAGAGAGAGAGAGAGAAGGGGAAGAGGAAGAGAGGCACACAGAAATGACGGATTGTCGCATGCAAACGTCGTAGTATCTCTCTTGGCATTGGCCTTGGCCGTCACACGAGAACTTCGAAAAGAAGCCAAGTGTATCGTGGCTATCGCGCTTCTGGACGCAGGTATTGTGTATTCTAAAGGCGAACAGAGGTGGGAGTTCCCGGAGTTGTATGCCCTGTTTATCTGTTGGGGGAGGGGGGGTTGGTGGGTGGGGGGTTGGGTTGACGGGTGGGCCAGGAGAAGAGAGTAATCGGTTGTGCCGTGTACTAAGGGGAGGAGGTCGAAGGGGAGAATTCTCAGAACAGGAAGAAGAGGAGGAGGAGGAGGAGGAAGTCGAGGAGGTGATGGTGGGGACGGGAGTGACGGATACGCTGGTTTTACGCGAGGGCCCGAAGGGTGGACGGACGTTTCCGGACCCCTAATATTCTAGTACTACGGTAGGTGAAGGGACGCTTCACCAAGTGGCAATCCTCTCTATGCGTCTCTTATCCGAAGCAGAGACGAGTCGGTTACTTACATGTTTGTTCTTAAAGATTAAAGATAGCTTACATCTTTTCTTCTAGAAATAGCATACGTGTTTTTGTTTCTCAAATAGCTGCAAATAGCTGCAATCGGGAAACTATTGGTGAACGGAACACTCCCCCACTTGTTAAAAGACTATTGTGTTTCGGCGAATATGTCGATATGGACTGTGTGTGGACTATTTAAATACAGTCCCTGAAACTTTGGACCTTTGGGCCGCGTGTAAGTGCGACTCTGACTCTGGGTGTGGAGTAGAAATATAGCTGCCACCCCTGGGCCACCCCATATCTATGATAGTAAGAGCAGAGTCAGTGGTGACCGACAAGACGCTCAAAGACAGAGCCACGATGAGCGCAGCAATCATATGTGAAAATAGTCTTGAAACTTCAAACCTTGAAACAGATAGATTAAAAAAAAAAAAAAAAAAAAAAAAAACACAAAGATCGTCAAAGCTCATGCTCCTTAGCCTTGGTTATGGTACCTCAGTTCTCCCCCGTAGGATATGAATGATCGGAGGCCAGAGGTAGCTGCCAGCTGGCATCCCCGACTACGATCTTCGCCCGAACATAACGCACCCATAAAATGAATGTATATAAGTTGTATTCCGGCCAGATACAGCCAAAATGAGGGTGCGTTGTGTTCGGGGGAAGACGGGTAGTTTCGGTCGTCCCCCGTAGGATAATATGAATGGGGTTATCTGTTGGTGGAAGGTACACTCCCTCTTGTTTAACTTAAAACAAAAGAATCAGAAAACAGAATAGAATACCCTTTGTTAAAATACTGCCCCCCTTAAACCACCACTCCCCACTACCTACAGCACGACTGGCACCGAAAAGGCTCCACGAAGTCTGGAGGCCTTTAACGCACCAATGCCGCCGATGGATTTTATCGACGGCGGGCGCAGCCTCTGACACTTCAGGTAGTAGGCTACTACTTGAAATTCGAAGGCCTGCAGGTAGTGTACAAAAAAAAAAAAGATTATGTATCGACCTTCAGTATATGGCCTGTGTGTGGACTATTGACTATAGACTCTCTAATTTTCGACCGCGTGTAAGTGGTACCTGCAGTGTGAGGATTAGCCAACGGTGTGTACTATGTCGATTTGTACTTGGTGAGTTCGGAATTCAGTTCGGCGAAAGGGTCCACCAGAAGAGTACATCATGGAGGGATAATATATGTTGTAAGTGGTACCTGCAGTGTGAGGATTAGCCAACGGTGTGTACTATGTCGATTTGTACTTGGTGAGTTCGGGACTTCAGTTCGGCGAAAGGGTCCACCAGAACAGTACATCATGGAGGGATGATATATGTTGACGGTTCAAAGAAAAGAAGGGTTAGAGAGGTAGAGCAACATGATGACACTGTCAGGTCCTCGATATATTAAATTTTGTCTTATTTTAGGATTTAATATATGGTAATGATACATTTCGTATCTAGTAATAATGACGACAGGTCCTTGAAACACGTGTCCTTATCCAGGACGGGTAATAATCATAACTTGCTTATGCCGCACGCTGTACGGATTAGAGGGAAAGTTACGGAAAAAAAAAGAAAAAAAAAAAAAGAAAAAAAAAAAAAAAAGAAAGCACGCTGTACAAGGAACGGAGGATCTGCAGATCTCGGTCGCGTACTACAACAACGTGCCTAGTAACTAGGCTAGCAGTCGGGATACCAACTCATCCATCAACGAGAACATCAACGTACCTATTAACAGGTACCCTCTAGATATAGGAGCAATACCCTCTAGATATATAGGGGTATTGATCCTCCTATATCTAGAGGTGTAGGTAAACTATTCCTAAGGCTTTTTTTTCTTTAAATTTCTGTTTTTAACTCCAAAGGTTATTTAGGTAGTGCAAGGCGGAAAAAGAATTTGAGAGAAGAAACGTCTAGTTAAAAAAAAAAAAAAAAAAGGAGTGGCTAAACTTATTTTCGATTGACGAAGTCAATCTTTCCAGTCAAGGATTATGGGCCTGGCCATACCGGTCACGACACGAAAAGTATATACGAGTGTATCTTTCCACTGAAGCTGGCAAGATGATTCCGGTACGAAGAGAAGGAACCGATGTATCGGGCCACTTACTGAGGAAAGATACATACACTGTCAGTCGTATGTTTTTCGTTTTGCCAGTGGTGTTGCGACGGCGTTGTGTATCTAGAGCATTGTACTATTCAGATGTTCCGGCTTCAACTCAGACTCTGTAATCGCGTTCTATAATTAGATGCTGCTGTAATCGCGTTCTATAATTAGATGCTGACGTGTCGCGAGGTGGAGGGATTATGATGTCGTGCAGATGGTTCAGGCTTCACTCTGTGAGCGTGTTTGAAAAAAAAAAAAAAAAAAAAGGAAGAAGAAGAAGAAGGGTAAATTGCAGAAAATACAGGTTTGGACAAGTATCGTAGCAAGTATACGGGTACGCCCGGTGGTATTTCTGCAATTTGCCCTCCTTTTTTTTTTCGTTTCTTTTTTTGTACTTACACGATTACTGTAACAGGGTTGGCATTGGCAGTGAAGATTATTTGAAAGAATTTGAAAGACGATGAAAATTTTGAGAGAAGAATGCAACGTAGTTTTAAATCATTATAATAATTATAATAATAATAATAATACGCATAATATTCATAAAATTCATATATATCGTCAAACAGAGCTGCCCGGTAAACCGTAGGCAGAGAGGGAGAAGACTCAGAAGACGACAACAAACGAGGGGCTGTGACAACCTGAATAATAATAATAATAATAATAATAATAATAATAATAATAATAATAATAATAATAATCATATATATTCATATATATCGTCAAACAGAGCTGCCCGGTAAACCGTAGGCAGAGAGGGAGAAGACTCAGAAGAGGACAACAAACGAGGGGCTGTGACATACTCTATCCTCGGAGTTTAACCAACTCCATAACGGCAAGAAAGTTGCAGAGATACCCTTTCAGGCCTTAGCAAAGTTTCGACGCAGATTTAGGGGGTGGTACCTTCTTCCGTGACAAAGACCCCGTCCGTCCGCTTGGCCTGAGGCAAGCACTCCTAGAGGCATAGGACTGACGAATCCTCTGTTGCAAAAGGAGGTACTGCAAACAATAGCGATCTGAGATATTACAGTATCATTGGACTGATGAGCGAGGCCCCGGGTAATGCAGATTATGCTGCTCATCCGATTGCATCTGGATTGGAACTTGGGTCTGATTCATATTTCAACAATTCATGGGTGTACCAACTGAGCTTTTTCTGTAAGTAGATGGCAAGATGCTGACGTGTCGCGCGCTGGAGGGAGTACCCGATGTCTGCGAAAGATCGTCATGGTGATGATGCAGTGATCGAACGAACACACGATTTGGGTAAAGTTTAATTAATGAATGGAAAGGTTTAATTAATGAATCGACGTCCGTGGTAGGAGACATTCATTATCATCGATTAATGACGGACGTATAATTTAATGGAATAGAGACTACCGTCTTCCCTCTCCCCAAATACCACGCACGCTCATTATGGATGTACCTGACCGGAAACATAGCTGGCATACAATCATTATTACAGTGCGCACGATCCGGATAAGATACTAGGTAATGAGCGGAAATGGTGGACGTCGGTGGTGGGAGACATTTATCATCATTGAGTAATCACGAGTACGTTGTTTGTTGGAATAGAGACTATTGTCCCCGAACTCAACGCACCCCCTCATTATGGCTGTACCTGACTGGAAACATACCTTGCATACGTACATTCATTATCAGGGTCCGTTGTGTTCGAGGGAAGACGGGAGTTGGAATCCGACGATTGCGATTGGGATAGAGAAAAGAAACTGGTTCATTGGGATAGAGATCAGGTAGGAGCAACCAACTGACCCACCATCTTCACCCGAATATAACGCCTGGTCATTGTAGCTGTATTTGGCCTCCTTTCGGTCCAGATACAGCGATAATGACCGGGCGTTCTATTCGGGTGGAGTCGGTAGCTCAGTTGGTACACCCCCGAATTGAACACTGTTGAAATGCAGACCTGAGTTCGAACTCCACTGGAGTAAAATTACCAACTGATGTAACTTCCGAATTACTGAGGTAAACTTCGAATTGCAATTCGGATTTTACCTCTAAGTAGGGCCGGTCAGTTCGATGATGATATCTCAAGGCCGTCGCCCTTAAATAAATTAAAAAAAAGAAAAGATATAATACAGAAGAAAAAGAGATGAGGAGGGGCCCGGAGGATTGGGATCGAGATAGGCAAGAATCGGATGATTGCGATGAGAGACCAAGAGGGGAGCGGAGGATTGGGATGGGGA